ACTTGTTTATTCAAGTATCCGAAAACACTCTTTCCACTCCTCCCCTCCTCCCAATACCCTCACGCTCCCCCCACTCCCTCTCCTCCTCCCTCACCATTCCCAAGAGCAGTCAGGGTTTCCTGCCCTGTGGGAAATCCAAGTTCCTCCCCCCTCCCTCCAGGTCCAGGAAGGTGAGCATCCAAACAGGCCAGGATCCCAAAAAGCCAGTCCATGCAGACGAAACAAGACCCAGTGCCATTGTCAATGGCTTCTCAGTCTTCATTTGGACCTTGGGGGCTCAGTTAGCCCCCATGTCAGCCACATTCAGAGAATCCGGTTTGATCAAATGCTCGTTCAGTCCCAGTCCAGCTGGCCTTGGTGAGCTCTCATTCGATCAGTCCCCTTGTATCAGTGGGTGAACGCACCCTTCGTGGTCCTGACTTCCAGTGCTCCAATGTGGGTCTCCGTCTCTATCTCCATCCATCCTCGGATGAAGGCCCCCTCTGATTTTGCTTTCCTTGCTCACGATCTCCCTCCCTCTGCTTCTCATTTGGACCTAGGGAGTTAAGTCCAGTGTTCCAATATGTGTCTTGTCTCTATCTCCATCCATCGCCATATGAAGGTTCTGTGGTGACATGCAAAATATTCATCAGTATGGTTATGGGCCAAGGCCAGTTCAGGCACCCTCTCCTCTGTTGCCCAGAGTACAATCTGGGGACCTCTCCTTGGGCCTGGGAACCCCTCCAGAATCAAGTCTCTTGCCAACCCTAAAATGGCTCCCTTAGTTGAGATATAAACTTCCCTGCTCCCAGAACCATCCTTCCTCCCTCCCCCCTGCCATTCCCCCAAGTCATCCCCAATCCTCCCCCTCTCCCCTTTCCCTAACCATCTCCCCTTACTTCCACTCCACACCCCCCCCCCCCGTGTACCCAAGTGTGCCTGGCAATCTTGCCTACTTCTAATATCCAGGAGGATAACTATATGATTTTCTTCAGGTTCACCTTCTTATTTAGCTTCTCTAGGATCACAAATTCTAGACTCAAAGACCTTTAACTATGGCTAGAAACCACTTATGAGTGAGTACATACCATATTCCTCCTTTTGGGTCTGGGTTACCTCACTCAGTAAAGTGTTTTCTATTTCCATCCATTTGCATGCAAAATTCAAGATGTCATTGTTTTTTTACCGCTGAGTAAAACTCTAATGTGTATATGTTCCACACCTTTTTTAACCATTCTTCTATTGAGGGGCACCTAGGTTGTTTCCAGGTTCTGGCTATTACAAATAGTGCTGCTATGAACATAGGTGAACAAATACTTTTGTAGTATGATAGGGCATCTCTTAGGTATATTCCCAAGAGTGGAATTGCTGGGTCCTGAGGGAGGTTGACTCCCAGTTTCCTGAGAAACCGCCACACTAGTCAAACTATTTTTAAACAATTATCTAAGATCTTGTTTCTGTGCTCTCTATATTATACCATTTCTCCAATTACTTGGTCTTATTTTCCCAGCACACTCTTCTCTTAATCAGGCTTCTGGTGAGTTTTTAAATTTGGAAATGAAAGCAATTAAGGTTTTTTTTTTCAAGAGGGCTTTGCATATTCAGAATTCATTAAAATTCTTAATGAATATTAAGATAAAAATGTCACTGGGATGTAATAGGGATAACCTTGATTGTACAGATGGCTTTGGAAAGTATTGGCACCATAGCATTAGTAAGATCTCTGACCAATTAACAGAGACTACCTATCCTTCTAGGTGCTTATACCACAACTTTTAAAGCAGAAATTTGTGGTTTTCTTCTACACACTTTTCTACTCAGGTTAATTCTTCAGTCTTTCCCTTTTGTGTGCAGGAGGAATGTGTATATTCCATTGGGTGTGTGTGCACAAGATATGTAGGCACACAGGTGCTCAGTGGCATGTCCATCTGTACTTGAATGAATGTGAAAGTAGGATATTAGTCAAGGCATATCTAAGTCAAGAGCAAAGGACGTTTTGGGTATTTTTGCATTAACTTCTTTTAGGAATGGTATGCAATTATTGTTGTATAAGTATTTTAGGTCTTTGATTATGAATGGTATAGTAATTCCTCATTATTTTATTCTATGGGATTTTTTGGTATACACAATCATTAAGGTCCTTATTAAACTTTATCTTAGTTACTGGAAAAGAAAATTAATATGCTGTATATTCAGCCCAATGGTAAAGAACTTTCGGGCATAATTGAGACCACTGGATTAACCCCAGCCTGGGAGAATAATTATTGTTCTAAGAAGAGTTTGAGGAATTTAATTCAGTGAAGACTTCTATAAATGGTGTCAAAAATATACTGTCCTTATACAATATTAATATACTAGAATTTTATTGCACTTTACAAATCTATACAACCGAATTGAACTTTGTCTTCCCTCCTCTAATGGACATAAATGAAAATGCCTCCTTAGGTGTGGGAACAGGTTTATAAGTCTAAATTGCCCTGCAGTTTTGCAATGTGTCCATAGGTTCACTTCCATGAGATCCATTTTGTGCTACAAAGGCTAATTACAAACACTTGAACTTTTATTCTTTCTGTTTTCTTAAGTTTATTTATTGTTCATATATATAATAACCTTATAGTTTATAACAACATTTTATTGGGAAAATCACGACATATACAGAAGTACATAAATATTTTATAAGATTATGTAAAGTATGCAATATAGAACATTTTGGTGAAATTGGAAGTCTATGATGGTTATGTGCTTATACAAATAGGATATGGCTAAAACCCCTGATCCAAGATTCCTTCTTAGGAATTTTTTATTTGTTTTGTTTTTCTCATAATCAGTTTATACCCCAAGGATTAATACATATTAAGCAAATACTCAGCACTGATTTAATTCTTCAGCTTTCTTCTTATGCAGTTGTTTGCTAAATTTCCCATGGTGTCCTTGGTCTACTAAGTGCTTGCTCCATTAAGTATGGAAACAGATACTTACTAATGATTATTCTATATACCACCATCTTTTATCCTGACTATACTCAAATAACTTCCTGGCTTCCTTTACAGTTTTAGGATCTAAGCGAAACCTCAATATTTTCTAATTTCTCAAGTAAGGACAAAGAGCAAGCGGAAGGTGCACAATCTTCTGTTACGATGGTGTTTGTTTTGCTTTGACCTAGCTTGAAACACTTTGTTTCCACAAACAGTGGCAAATGTCTGTTCTGCAGAAGTGTACACGGTCATCTCTGCATGCTATTGTAGGCAATTGGACTATAGATATGTTTTACTACTACTCATAATGTTACATTAATATGAGAATTGTGATCATTTCTTTTAGGCAAAGAAAGGTTTGTTAAAAAGATTCACAGGATTCCACTCTCTCCCATGCAGTATGGAGGACAGCTTCTATCTAGAATGGAAAGTCTTGCAACAGTTAGTGCAATTTTTTTATGTTTCAGGTAGACAATTTAAAATGATTCCTCATTATAAACATTTCATCTACTCACACTGATTTACAAAAGAGAAAGCTATTTACAAAAGCCAGTTTTTAAAGAGTTGTGTGGAAATAATGTCTGTCATTGACACGTTTATTGCACTAGCACAGGCCATTTTGATTATATTTTGTTAAATTGCAGAGAAATTTTATATGTGAGTCCCATATGAAAGTCAAGTACTCCTAATCTTCCCAGGTTAAATTTTTCTTTATTGTCAATTAACTTGGGCCTTTTAAACTATCCAGAGAGATGTTTTAGTACCCACAATATTTCCAGGAAGTACAAGAAAATATAAAAAAAAAAGTCATTGAAAGAAGATTCTATTGCCTGCCCTTCACTGTCTTGAATCTTCTTTCTAACTAACGTCTCAATGACCACACATTCTTTATTCCTAAACTATGCTGTCCTACTTTACATGGACTCAAGAAATATAGCCTGTTGTCATTTCCCAATAAGGCAATCTTTATTACCAAAAACAACATTAATGCACAGTCAGTATGGGTACTAATGGTAATGTGAGATTAATAAAGCAAGGGAAATATTTGCAGAGTTAGACAGAAGAAAGTTAAGATTCAGGCAGAAATATGATTTTTAAAACTCATCTGTGAATCTTTTCAGGGAAAGAGTCTTATTTTCGCCCTGTCTGTCTACTTAGTTCCCAATTTAATGACTTTTGTTGGCACAGTTTCTGTCCCATAACTTCTTTTCCTTAATTACTAGACCTCTAAAACTTTCAAATTATTTCATTTTAATTTTGCAGCTGAACTACAATCCCTACTGCAAAAACAAAAACAATAAAAATAAGAAAACTTGATGATAAAATATCCACTACAACAACACTAGATACATGTGTGCCCTGTAAACAAATAATAATGAAGGTCCAAAGCATAAATGGTGTCTTTTGTTCATATTTCCTAAATAATAACAATATTAATAGGCAAAAATATTTAAATTAATAGCATGCTGGAAATCTGGAACCATTAATTAATTCTACACTTTTAATTAAGCTATTGATTAGCAATAAGTCAAAATTGACACATTGGCAGTTGAAAGAGATATGATACTTTTCAATGGAAGATGTAAAGAAAAGAACAGAATCAGATGTTTGAATTACATATTCAGACATTCTTTCAAACTGAGAATCAGCATAGAGTTGATAATAACCTCCTAATATTACTTCATTTGACATTTTGAAGATCTCTTTTAGTTTATAAGAGGAAAAATAAGTTTGTAATGAATGTGGATAATATGTAAGTTCTCTTAGAGGTACTATGTTTAAATAAGAAATAGAATAGAAATGGCAGAAATGAAAAAATATGAATATGGCAAATCTGGTAATATTAAATGCAGAAGTCTCAAGTTTCTTTTTATGGTACACAAATCAAACTATTTTTCATAAGTATTCCAAGGGTTTCTGCTTGTTTAAAATTGAGAACAAGTAGAATATGTTTAAAAAACAGGTAAATTATACAGCTGAAACATTGTCCATGATTGGAAACTATCTCTGTGCCCAAAACAAGAGGCAAAACACAACTTTGAACTATCAAAAATTCTTCCTAATCAGGGTTTTTTTAAGGGCAAATTTAATATCTTTGTTCCTCAAGCTGTAGATTAATGGGTTCATCATGGGAACCACATTGCTATAAAAAACAGAAGAGACTTTTCCTACATTTATAGACCCAGCTGAGGAGGGTTTGAAATATGCAAGTGTACCTGTACTGAAAAAAAGAGAAACAGCAAGGATATGGGAGCTGCAGGTGTTAAAGGCTTTGGACCTACCCTCAGAGGAACTGATGTGGATGATGCTGGAAAAGATGAAACCATACGAGATAAATATAGTTGAAGTAGGAACAATCACGTCGATGCTCCCAACAATAAGAATTACAACCTGATAGACATATGTGCTCGTGCAGGAGAGCTGGAGCAAAGGAGGAACATCACAGAAGTAGTGGTTGATGGTGTTGGCATCACAGAATGTCAGTCTTAGCATGCACACAATGTGAGCCACAGCATTAGAAAATGCAATAAAGTAGGAACCAAACATAAGGTTCAAACATAGTTTTGGAGACATGACAGCATTATATAACAATGGATTACAGATAGCCATGTAGCGATCATATGCCATTGAAGTCAACACAAAGCACTCAGAAACCGCAAAGAAGACAAAGAAATAAACTTGGGTCATACATTCCAAATAAGATATTGCATTCTCCCTCGATACAAAGTTAATCAGCATCTGGGGAGTAAACACAGAACAGTAGCAGAGGTCTATAAATGACAAGTTGAAGAGAAAAAAGTACATAGGAGTGTGCAGGTGAGAATTCATCATGGTCAGAATTATCAAACACAAATTTCCCAAAACAGTGACCAAATACATTGCTAGGAACAGAAAGAACAAGGGCATTTGGAGTTCAGGCTGATCTGTTAATCCAATCAGAATAAATTTAGTCACCAGAGAGACATTTACTGAGTGCATTCTTCTCTAAGGTAATCTGTAGACACAGAAAACAGACCTGTATTAGAGGATGGTCTGTACTCTTCATGGATCCTTCTCACCTGTGACAGTTTGTTAGGAATGTTTCCTCTAGGCTGGACTAATCGCATAGGATCAGGTGGTGAAGCCACAAACAATCCTAAGTCAGAAAAGGAATTGATAATAAATTTCATTATGATTTCTGAAAAATATCACAAGATAAAGAATACATGAAGTAGGATTCAAACTTTTCCCATCACCAGTCTTTCCCCACTACAGCCCTCCCCACAAAAATTACATTGCATTGAGATGCCTGGACAGTATGCTTCTGGTCGCTGCTGCAAATTCTTTTTGCTGCAGTACAAAGGAAAAGCATGTGCATAAACTAAAAATAAAAGGAAATTAGAGAGGCTTGGCAAGAATGTTTCCAATCCCCTTGTCACAGAGTCATGAATCTGGATGTCTTGAATACTGACCACGCAGGAGAACCCCAGTGAAGATGCTGCAAGTTCACTGGCCAACACCTCTTAACACTCTCTGATCATCCTGAATGATTTCGTCAGCCAGGTTCACTTAATTGCCATTTTACCCAGGAAAAGGAAGAAATTACCAAAGTCCATGACATATTTAGAGAAACATAAAGAACTTAAATTTGAGTGAAGGGGAGGTGGGGAATAACTCAAAGGAGTTGTGGAACAGGCAACAGTAATCAAAATACATCAGATGAAAAAAAAATTCTTCAACAAAATAAAACAAAAGTAGCAAATATTCATTAAAAAAAGAAAACATAGGAAATAAGAAGGACTATTAGTATACCTGGATTTCAGTACTCACAGTTTTCAGCCAAAATCTTAGAGCAGTCTTATTTACCCTTTTCCCTATTTATCTGGATAAATATTTCAGATTCAAGGATTTCAGATCTTTCAATTCAAAGTTCTTCACAAGCCTTAATTTTCCAAGATCAGTTTCTGAATTGCAGAATATTATTTGTGATTAAGACTTTGAATCTTTTTTGAAAGCAGAGAAAGAATCCTTTTACCTCAGGATGAGTGTTCTTATGAGCAGGGAAGAAGAATGTCTAGACCATTCCTCAAGAGAGCCTTTAAATCAGAGATGAAGCTGAGGAAAATATATTACACCCTGTGTCATCATCCTTATTTCCTGAGAGACCCACAATTAAACACTTCCTTTCTATTCACTCTGGAGAATATACAGCATGCAGTGTAGATATTGAGAAAGACTATTACCTCTCCAAAAAGCATAATATCAGCAGGGAAATCTGAGTTCTATGTTTTTCCTCTCTTGTTTCCTGAAATTAAGTAATATTTGTCCATAGGTCTTGCTGCTGATCTATTTCTGTCTGTTTCTGAAATTTGCGGAGTGCTGTAGAAGTTCACCTCCAGTGCTGTGGTATAAGAAACATTAGAGATACTAATCAAAAAACTATATTTCTGAAAAAAGATTGATACCAGAAGACATGCCTGCATGAAAGGGGGAGAAATCTCAAGGGGCCTCAACCCAAGATGAAGAACTTAAGATAATTAAGGAGTGTTGGGAATGCTAAAACTAGACTTTTTAGGAAAGAAACATATCACGATTTATTATTTGGTGTCAAATGGTCAGGAGTGAACTCATACAAAAAAGAAACATTACATTGACTGAGATGTTGTGTATATAGGTAGCAACAATTAAGGAAATAGAAGCCTGAAATTTAGAGAGAACATGTGGTGTGTGAGTAAGGTTTGGAGGCAGGAAAAAGAAAGAGAAAAATTACGTTATTATATTTTAAGTTTAAAAGATAGAAACATGAAATAGAAGCTCTAAAGATTTTTAATAAAAATAATTAAATAAAATATGAAAGATTCACTTTCCCTTCTCTTTAAATAAAACATCTACTGTTCCCTAACTAACTTGCTACAAATTAAATAAATTAATGACCTCTTTTTCTTTTATTTTATTACTACATATATCTGCAAAAATTTGTAAATTAATCTAGTCTCAATAAGACAAACACCATTTTTCCTTCATGGCACTAACAGATTTTATGTGTATACATGAATAATATATACACATATAATATTAATGTAGGGGGAAAAGTGGCACTAAAGCACACTGGGGTGCTGATACAGAAAATGAGATGGGAGGATATATGGTGGAATTACGATCAATGAGTCAATGAAAATCTTCTTATGTCACATATTTACAATAAATGCACATATTTGCAATAAATATAGAAAGTGTTAGTTTTGATGGTTAATAAATATATATATATATCACAAACAGCATTACATACAATTTTTTAATTTTTTTAATTTATTAAAAATTCCCACCTCCTCCCCGCCTCCCTTTTCCCTTCCCACCTCCCCCTCCCTCTCTAGTCCTAAGAATAGTCAGGGTTCCCTGCCCCGTGGGAAGTCCAAGGTCCTCCCCCCTCATTCTAGGTCTATAAAGGTGAGCATCCAAACAAACCAGGCTTCCACAAAGTCAGTCCATGAAGTAGAGTCAATACCCAGTGCCATTGTCCCTGGCTTCTCAGTCAGCCTTCATTGTCAGCCACATTCAGAGTGTCCAGATTGATCACATGCTCCATCACTCCCAGTCCAGCTGGCCTTGGTGAGTTTCCATTAGATCGGTCCCACCGTCTCAGTGGGTGAACGCACCCCTCGCGGTCCTGACTTCCTTGCTCATGTTCTCCCTCCTTCTGCTCCTCATTAGGACCTTGGGAGCTCTTTGGCCTGGAGAAGGAGGGGGAAGGAGAGTGGGGGGAGGGGAGGGAAGGAAGTGGAAATTTTTAATAAAAAAAATAAATAAAAAGATATTCATCAGTGTGGCTTTAGGATAGGGTCAGTTCAGGCACGCTCTCCTCAGCTGCCCAAGGAACAAGCTGGGAACATCTCCTTGGACACCTGGGAACCCCTCTAGAGTCAAGTCTCTTGCCAACCCTAAAATGGCTCCCTTAATTAAGATATCTACTTCCCTGCTCCCATATCCACCCTTCTTCCATCCCAACCATCCCATTCTCCAAAGCTCTCCCCATCCTCCCTTTCTTTCTTCTCTCTCCCCCTCTCCCCTTCCTTTCTAAAACTCAAGAATCTTAGTAACTATTGAATGTTTCCTACTTTTTCAGTCCCAGTCCGGCTGGCCCTGGTAAACTCTCATCAGATCCGTTCCCTTGTATCAGTGGGTGATAGCATCCCTCGCAGTA